ATAATATAATAATTACATAATATAACTTAAAATAATAATTGAATAAATATATATGTGTGTTTATATGTATGTATATATAATAATAAAACATAATATATTATTATCTAACATTGATATATGATAAACTAACAATCAATTATATTTCTTGAGGCATTCAACACCCCTATTAAAAGTGCCATTAGCACTCTGCCTTAAAAAATATAATATATTATTATTTAACATTGACATATGATAAACTTATGATCAACTATATTTTTTGAGGCATTCTGCCATTAGCACACCCCCTTAAAGAAATAAATAATAATAACCACATTCATTAATTACTCCTTACCTGACCTGAGTGCATCACTTCTCAACTGTTACTAATTCCATTTTTGTAAAAATCAACTTGCAGTGGTCACCCCACCTCCAAACACCAAACGACAAAACCTGTGCAACGTGTCAACAATCTATGACGACACATCAGATTACCCTATGAATTTATGTCCTCACTCGCAGCCAGGCGCGTGACCGTAAAGTACAGTTGGAGCAATAAAAGTTTGCTTTTTGTGGCAAAGTTAAACTTGATGCCTTAGCGCGTGGGGGTTGTAGGACTGTGGGCCCCACCCGCCACGTCATGTTTGCTGCAACGGTACATGTACATGCTTATAGAACGTGACAATAAGGCTAAAACGCGAGTGAGAGCAAGGGAAAAAAATAATTTCTAGATCGGCAGCTACAAATTCATGCGGGTCCCACTTGAAAAATTGTTTTCTCGGTAGTTCCGTGACCGTGACTCCAGACTCTCTTATCAACACCCTCTTAATCACCACCGTCCGATCTTCCTCATCCTGTGGCTCCTATTCGGCACGCTGATCCACGCCCTACAGAACCCACTAGTAAATCTGTACCTTTCATTGTTCTACTTTTCAACACTCAGGACATTGGCAGCCGTTGATCATCTCATGGGCCCCACTTGAATTGCAAGAGTGATTTACCACATTAAATACTAATGTTTTTTTCATTTTTCTATAAATTTTAATAATAAAATAATGAAAGACCAAAACAAATAATCAATTTTGACCGGCTAAAATGGTATTTTATGCGGTGACTTAGATTCCTTGCGATCGGCATCTGCGAACTTTTACCAAAGATGTTATCTTTTTCTAGTTACCACCGGCAATAGCCGGTATATTCATACAAAATGACGTGGCTCTTTATTTATTATTTCTTTAAATATACTCTTTTAACCCTTATATATACATGGTCCATGAACACGATGGTGGATCAACACGGTACTATATATATATATATATATTTTATATCTAGTTGGCATAAAATATATTTTTAAATAATTTTGATACTTAAAAACAATAAAATATGTATTTAATAAAGCATATCTAGTCATTATTGCATATTATTTAAATATTTTCATAAAATTACTTTATTTGTATGTTTAAAATATCTTATAATATATATATATATATATATAATATTTAGAACATGAAATGTGAAATATAGAAAAAGTCAACATATTCATTTTTTTATTATAGAAAAATTTGTTTAATATAAATATATTTATTAATTAAAATATATTTGTTAAAGATGGAAATTAAATAAGCTTAATTGAATTCAAAATGAAAACTGTTTCTTCGGGAGGAATAGATTAGTAGAATTAGTATTATTTTTTATGCTAAAAAATGATGGAAGCTTGTCGAGTAAGCAAAGACCGCCACGTGTAGGTAAAGGATCGGACGGTCGGCGTATTGCCATGTCGGATGCAAGTGAAAATGAGCCGTTGATGTTCTGGTGGGAACGGAGGGCTGAGATCGAAGGATATGTGGGAAAAGGTTGCATCTGAGCCATCGATGAGGGTTCGGAGTAGGCTTCGTGGAGAGTGAAATACCGAAAAGATGATGAGATAGAGAGTGTGTGTGTGTGTGAGAAAAAGAAGGGAGAGAGAGAAAGTGAAGAAGATAGAGAGAGAGAGAGAGAAAAAGAGGGCAGAAGAGCAGAAAGAGATCTGAGAGAGTGAATCATATAATCAATCTCTCCGAAAGGAAAAAAAGGTTATCAATTTTGATTTGAATCATCGGTTTAGGGTGTCCGCCGGAGTGAACAACTGTGTTGTATGATAGATATTCCGGCGATTCATAGAGATAGGTTCCGGCGAATTATGTTAGAAGAAAGCCTGTGATGATACGTACAATAGTAGTAGATCTGACGTTAAGGAGATCGAGAGAAGTGATTGATGGATAGGAATAGAGAAGCAAGACGAGCTACTAATATGGCGGCTCCCCCAAATGGGTTATCATCTTCGAGACGGAGACACCGAAGCAGCAGTTTAAGAGATTCAACCGGTAGGCTTCTTGACGCTCCCTTTTCTCAGATCTACCAACAATTTTAATGTTTATCTTGGTTTTATTAATCTATGGTGATTGTTTTTGTTGTAGATGAAGATGGAGCGGTGGAGCTACAAGAATCAGGGAGGTTAAGAGACAGGGGAGTGGTTAAGAAAGATCGTGGAGATCGAGATCGGGATCGAGAAAGGGAGAGGGAGCGGTCTAGCCGGAGCAAGAGGAGGAGAGAAAATAGGATGATGATTCACCATGTAACCACGGGAATTAATAGAGACGACGGAGACGATACATCTGAGGAGAGTGTTAATGATGAAGATGAAGAAGATGATGACGATGCCGGAAATGGTGGTGGTTTGCGGATGTTGCCTCCGCCGCCGGCAAATCCAACTACGGCAACAGCAGCTATGACGAGTAATCATCATAATCACAATCCTCATCCTCAGCAGCTTCACCATCGGAAGAGTTTTCCCCCTTCTGCTAATAAAGTCTTTCGAGCTGCTGCAGCGCCACCGCCTGCTTGGAAGGCTGCTGACGAAATGATCGGTGTTTCGGTGCCGAGGAAAGCTCGGTCAGGTAAAAGTTGGGGGAAGCCGCAGATAATTATCAAATTATTGTGAAAAAAAATTCTGATTTTCTTGTTTCGTTAAAATTGCAGCATCTACAAAGCGGTCTCACGAATGGATTTCTGGTGGTGCTGTTGTGGGCGGAGGGGGAGGAACAGAGCAAGTTCATCGGCAATCCTCGACTTCACCTGTAAGGCTTGCATCATCAGTTGCTTCACCAGCGTTGGTAGCTCCTCCATCGCCTTCTTCTTCCAATGTTTCTGTTCGCAAGAAGATGGTTTGTGCTCTTGAAATGAAATTCACAATTTTTATGTGGATTTTCTCAGCTTTTCTGACCTATTTTTCATCTTCCTTGCAGAAAGCAAATGGAGGCGGCTCTAAACCGAGACCACCAAAATCATCATCCAAGTCGTCATCCTCTAACCCGGAGGAGCTTGAAATCGAGATAGCCGAGGTCTTGTACGGTCTCATGACTCAATCACAAGCTCCGTCCAAGAAAGAAATCCCATCGAACGATTCAACAACCAAGTTTGATTCTAACAAATCCAGCAGTGACACCAAATCTAGAGTCTCATCCCCTATTTCTAACTCCACAGCCCCACCTCAAAATTCAACCTCGTTATCCACCGTGGGTATGATAGATTTACTTATTACTTGGGGTCTTTTTCAAACTTTTTTATCTTATTCCTCAGCTTAAAATTGATTATACTTTTGATGATGGAATTTACAGCACCAAAGAGGAAGAGACCACGGCAAGTGTCAGAGAATCCGTTCAGTGTACGGAGCAGTCCAGTTTCTTCTTCAATAAAGAACGAGATTGATCACCATCAGCATCATCAGTCTCCAAAGACTGATATTTCTTCTCCTTATTTGGAAAACAACAGCCCAGGATCAGCTGCTGCTGCTGCTGAGAATGGTGTTTCTTTTGGCTTCACCAGTGTGCCGGCCCCATCATCAGAGCCACCGCTGCCTTTGCCACAGCCGCCGGTGGAAGAAGAGGGGAAATGTGGTGTGGGTGTGGTGTTGACTAAAGAAGAGGTTGAGAAGGAATCTCCTGCAGTTGGGATAAATAATGGAAATGGTAATACTGAAGCTATGATTACGACAGCTGCATCAACGACAGCAACCAATCTGTGAGTAAATTTTTGGATCTGATGCTTTAATTGTTTGAGATGTATTTATTTGTCAAAAATTTCCAACTTCATGGAGGACTTTGATGATCTGTTGAATGATTCTGGGTATTTTTGTTTGTGTTGTCTGCAGAAATACAGCTAATTTGGAGACTGAAAGTCAAAAGGAAGAAAAATTCGAGATAGATCTGATGGTGAGACATATATCAAGCTTTGGTTTCTTGATTTTCTTATGTTGGTTCTTTTGGGATTCTTATTGTTTCCAATTTTTAGGCTCCACCTCCTCAACTGAGAACATCTCCGGGAAGGGATGGGGATATTGGTTTTTCTGATCATAAGCAGATGGCAAAGCAGGTAAATGCCCTTTTCTTAGTTTCTCAATTATCTTGACAAATCAGGTTTGGTGTTTTTCTTCTATTTTGCTCAATACTTCCATTCTGCAGGAAACGAGCAAGAATCTCAAGGATAAGGAAGATGAGAAGCTCAAGAAGAGTGGTAAGGAGGAGTCAATGGATTTGACTGACGAGCAGAAGCAGCCAAAGGCAGGGACTCTCCATGAAACTGGAGAATCATCAAAGCAAGTTATGAATGAAGAAAGGAATATTGAACTCCATATCGATTTGGAAAAACCCAACAAGGATAGCGCTAGCATGGTAAGTGGTGGCAGCAATAGATCGCTGCATCAAGCTCTCAAACATCAGCAATTATCAGCTAAACCTGCCAGGGACGAGACCCACACAGAGAAGACTGGTAATTTACTGTCAGAAATTTCAGTTCTATCTTCTACTCCCAAATTTCATTTGATCTGCATTATTGATTTGAGTGTTACATTCTACATTTTCAGCTCAACCTAGTTCCATGCCGACATTGCCAATGTCTCTGGCTAACTGGCCTCCAATGGGGTAAGGCTTAATAGATCTTTATACCCCATTTAATGTATGCAAAGAACAAATATTGATCATATGCAATTAGCAGGTATGTGGCACCATTGCAGGGAGTCATACCCATGGATGGGAACAAGGCGCCTTCAGCTCCAATTCAGGTACTATATAGTCCCCAATTCTCACTTATTGTGTGTTTTATATAATTTTATTTATCTGTTAAAATGATGCATTTCTTACAGCCAATATTCACACACCCGAGGCCAAAAAGGTGTGCCACACATTGCTACATTGCAAGGAACATTCACTACCTTCAGCAATTCATGAAGTTAAATCCATTCTGGCCAGCTGCATCCGGATCTGCACCTATATTTGGAGCAAAACATTGCAATCTGAATGTTCTGCCCGAACTACATGGAAGCATTCCCATGCAGGCAATCCCCGACAAGGGACAGGGAGTAGGCATCTTCCCAGGTCACACCGCTGCTGGAAAGGACAACAAGTCTTCTCAATCTGCAGCCATTCCCGATCCTAGTGCCCAGAGAAAGCAACAGGTTTTGCTTCAGCAACCATTGCCTCCTGTTACTCCAAACAACATACTAGTAAGTTGCTTCCTGTTGACCTGTCATGTATCAGGGTGTAATCTGTGTATTTGGAAAATTTGATTGGTTTTTGTTTTTATTTAATTTACAGCATGGGCCAGCTTTTATCTTCCCCTTCAACCAGCAACAAGCTTCGGCCTCTGTTCGGCCTGGTTCTTCTAAGCTTACTAGCAGCACAGCAGGTGCTTCAGGTGCACCAGCTAATTCAGCCACAATGAGTGGTGCCTCAACAACACCAGCTGCTCCTGCATTGAGCTTCAATTACCCCAATATGACTGCCAATGAAACCCAGTACTTGGCAATTTTGCAAAACAACCCCTACACTTTCCCAATACCTGCAGTTGGAACCCCACCAAATTACAGAGGCAACCCTCATGCCCAAGCCATGCCTCTGTTCAATGGCTCTTTTTATTCTTCTCAGATGATTCACCCTTCCCAAATTCCACAACCACCACAGCAGGCCCCCCCTCCAACTCAAGCTCAAAATCATCACCCTTCTCATTCACAAACCCATCAGAACAGTAGTGGTTCCACCTCTTCTTCGCAGAAACATTTGCAAACTCAACAGAGGCAGCAAGGCAGTGGTGCTGCTGTCAATGGCGGTGGCAGTGGTGGGAGTTTGCATAATAGTTATCCAGGCCACAAAAGCAGCAGATCGCAAGCACCTTCTCAGCAGCAGCAGCAGCACATGAATCCACCACCACACACACGCCATCTTGAGAATGAGGTGGCCGGTGGGGAAGATAGCCCTTCCACTGCTGATAGTCGAGTATCGCGGGCAGCAACCACAATGAGTGTTTATGGCCATAATTTTGCCATGCCTGTTCACTCCCAGAACTTTGCCATGATGAACCCTCAATCTGCCCTGTCTATAGCTGCTGCAAGTGGCAACAATTCAAATGACAAGAAACAGCAGCAGCATCAGCAACAACAATCTCAGCAGCAGCAGCAGGGGTTAAAAAGGGGTGGTGTGGATTCAACTCTACCACCTCAAACTTTTGCAATGTCATTCGCTCCTATGAATGGTACTACTGGTACCATGTCATCAATGGCACAGAACCATGCCATTTTCCAAAACTTGCCGGAATCTGTAAGGCAAAGCTACCACCATATGATGACAGGACCTCCAGTTACCGCATCAGCACACCATTCCCAACAGAAGAAGGATTTCAGAATATCTGAAGAAGCTTCTAGAACCGTAGGTCATGATTCTTCCAATGGCGATGACGAGAGAAAGGGTGGCAGTACGGGGCTGGCTGGGAAGTCCGGGTCCATTGCATTTTCGAGACCAGACCTTGCTGTTGATGCCTCTGGTTCATCGCCTATCTCAGGAACTTCTGTGATTGATAGCTCTTCAAGGAACATAAACCTTGGTTCTAATAACCGGTCATCTCGATCTCCTATGTCCACGTCTGTTGCGGCTGCGCAGTCTTCTCATCATTTACATGCTCAATTCCACCACCAGCAACAACAGCAGCAAGTTCTTCAGCTTCAGAAGCAGCAACAACAGAATGCCTCATTGAATGCTCGGAATAAAAACCAACCATCAAGTAATGGGAGTGTCTACCCGGATCATCTAATTACTTCTTCTTCAATGGCTGCCAAGTTCCCAAATTCCATCTCTTCTTTTCCACAAAACCTGGTCCAAACCAGCAACACCAGTAGTAGCCCTGCACAATCACCCCAGTGGAGAAACTCTGTGAGGGGTCCAACCACTTCTCAGGTTCCATCTTCCCTTGCTGCTTCAGCAAACACATCATCATCCCTCAAGAACCTTCACCAAACCCAGCAACAACAGTCTAGCAGATCTCACACCCAGATTTCATTTGGTGCAGCCACGCAGAAACTACCTTCAACAACTTCATCCTCACAGATGCAGCAACAGAATCCCAGTAATAGTAGTAACCAGTGCCCTTCTCCTCCAATGCTGGTTGGGTCTCCCACAACTTCCTCCATTTCTAAAGGTAATACTACTACAACTACTGGTGCTACTGGTGCTGGTGGAAGTCCAAGAACAAATGCATCAGCCTCCACAAGTGGTAGAACTGGTCAGCCTCCTGCTTCTTTGTCCTCATCACAACAGCCCAAAAACTCTCCTGTAGGAACCCAGAGATCTTCCCCTTCACCTTCCATTCTTGGTAACCCCCATATCACCAACTCAAATTCAACAAAATCTCAACAGCAGCTTCCAAAGCAAACATTACAACAGCAACAAGCCCAACAGGCACATTTGTTCTTCACGCATCCTTACATGCCCGTCCAGCAGCAACAGCAGCAGCAGCAGCCTCAGGCGCAACAGCACTCTGGTGGCGGCTCAACAGCGGCAACAGGTACAAGTGGGTATTATCTTCCAAGAAAGCAACAACAGCAGCAAAATCCGCAATCATCTTCAACAGGCATGCTGTCGTTAGCAAGTGGTACAACATCTGATCCTGCGAAAGCAATTGCAGCGGCTACCAGCAATTTGAAAGGCGGTGGTGCTTCACAGCAAGGGATTATACATGCATATGCTGCTGCACAAACCTCAAATGCTGGTCATCAGCTGTTGCCTGCTGGGTTTCCACAATATGCTCCTACTCCAGTTCAAGTGAAACCTGCAGAGCAGAAACAACCAGCTGGTGAGTCGTAGAACCTTTTTCTTTCTTTCTTTTTTTTGAAGTTTTTATGTATGTTATTTTGCATATAAAAATAGAGTTCAAAAATTGAATTGGATTAGAAATTTGGTTTCGTTGTTTGTCCCTCATCATCATAAAATTTGAAATTTGAAGGAGGATATTAAATTCATGAGGAAAACAACTGAATTTGTTGACCAGGAAATGACAATTTGCGTACGTGCTGGCAGCCTGAGAAGAAGTAGGAGTAGAAGTAGAAGTAGAAGTAGAAGAAGAAGAAGCTGTGCAGCAGCAAACGTTAGCTGGTACGATCCGAGACGGAGAAGAGCAACCAGCAGTTTTGGATCATAGTTTTTGATGATGGAAGGAAAAGGATCCATGGGCATCTGAAGTTTGGCAGCATAAACAGTTTTTTGAAATGGGGGCCTGTGGATACATGAGAGGGAGGGAGGGAGGGTTTGTTTTTGATGAATTTTCTCCCTTGAAAGATATGATGGAGAGTTTTAAAACAATATCTTTTGGACATATATTTTATATATATATATATATATTATATATAAAAGAAAAAAAGAAAAAAAGAAAAAAGAGAAATGGAATGGAATGGAATGGAATGGATGAGAGAGAGGGTGTGTGCATATATGCAATCATGTATGTTTCATATAAGAAGAGGAACAACCCCCTTCTTGGATGGATTATATTTATTGAATCTTTTGATTTAGTTATATGGTGATTACTGTTTGAATTTTACTTTTATCAACTCACCTCTCCAAACACCCACAGACAATTTATACACATTTATTTACCAAATACTACGTGGAATGGTGTAAAAAAATGAAATGGAATTTCCATTCTTTATAAGTAATTTGTAAAATAATCCCGTATTTGAGGATTTCAAATCTTTGTTATCCTGTAAACCAAACATGATATTAAAACAGATTTGAATTCCAAATCCTCTAAATTTTATTCTATTTTTGCAAACCAAACAAGACCTTGTGGTTTTTTTGCACACCAAGTTCATGATATATTTATTGTTTAGTTGAAAAAACATAGAATCAAAATGTTAAAAACGGTTTTTATTCACAATTATGAGCATCTGGGTCAATTTGGATGCATTTCGACTAACTTTATGAACGCAAGAGTAAAACCATACCAAAAGTGATTAATCGTTTAATTGATCAAAATGTCAGTTGTTTTTATTCATAATTATGAGCATGTGGGTTGAATTGCGTGCATTTCTACTAATTTCATGAAACGTACAAAAATAAAACCACGCCAAAAAGTTATCATGTCACTTGTTATTTTACGTCTTCATACCCAAGATGATAAAAATCCATGATTAATGAATTGTCAAAAAAGAATAATACTCTCTGTCCCAAATTAAATTTCTACATTTTTATTTTAGCATATCTTAAAATAAACATCCACTTTCAAATAATTATCTACATTCCCATTCTACCCTTAGAAAAAAAAAAGCGTAATAGTTATACATTTCTTGGACTATGTACCTTTTTCATTTCGGACAAAAGGAGTATAATTTTAGGATGAATAAACTATGCTATATTCTTTCTTCCTAAGTTGTTAAAAAGAGACCGATGTTTTAAAGATTAAAGGATTTTACTGTCGAAAAAACTGATTGATTTGAGAAAGAAGATGGTGACTAAGCTTATGTATGGTTGATGACATAATTCAATGGTGCAAACTCTTCCACAAGCTTCAAATTACTCTATGATCAAGTAAGTCAAACTTTTAACTTTAATGATCATGATATTTTTGATGTTAAATGTAGAATGACACAAAGATTGGTAACTCAACTTGAGGTTGGAAGTTGCAATATAAAAACTATGGACCAAATCTACTAATAAAGTGATAGGAGATTATAGATTCTGAAATGTCCACTATAATAACTACTTAAAGATGAATTTCTAGAGTCCGAACACGATAAGCTTTCCAACTTTTCAAAGAAAAGAAAAATATTAATTGTTAAAGTTGATGATGCAGTTCCACTGAGGAAAATTGTGTCAACACTAAGTACCTGTTAAGCTAATATAAACTCCAAGTGTGTCGGCTACTGGACACTTAACCATCCTATTTTTTTAAATCATGTCAAGGTTGCTCCTAATATGGGAGATGTCGAGTCATCTTTAATGGATCTGAAGCTGAGTAATAATCCTTCAGCAATTGAGGCATCTATTATGTCATATATTAATAATCTTCAAGGGAACAAATTACACACTATTTCTGTGGAATACAAATAGAAATTCAAACCCTATGACAATGAAGTGATTACAATTGAGAATATCAAAGTAATTGGATCTAAATTCTCGTTTAATGATGTTTCTCTCATTGTGTGTTGTTGATTGCTATCTCACTGTGTTCTTCAAAGTGAATGTTGATGAACTCTATAAGCGAATCAGATTGAAAGCCTTTAGGATGATCACTCACATTGGATGACAGGGGTAGGATTGAATATTAAACCAATCAAATAATATCAAATCTAATGAAATGAAAAGGAAATTTAGGTGGAGGGACTGGATGAAGGATTCAAATGATATACCTGATTTTCGAATGAATCAATTCAAATGTTTTTCTTTTGAAATCGGATGGTGTGAATCAGATGACATAGAAAGTATATTTAATTCTTTTGGACTTCAAATATAATATGTTTAAATTTAATATTAAATTGATATGGCAAGTTAATGCAATAATAACATTGTCATACAAGATAAGATCACTTAACTTTAAATATTTACCATTTTTAACTCAATGATCAAAAACTTGAGTTTGACTTGTCAAGTGGTTTCGTAAATAAATCAGTTACTTTTTACATCACCTTTTATCATATGATCTTTGATGAGATGATGTATGATAAATGTGCTTTCTCCGAGAATGTAGAAGAGGATTGTAGGCAATAGTGATGGCACTAAAGTTGTCACACATAATAAGAATAACTGAAAATTCCATGTCATAATCTCTAAACTTATTTTTCATGCATAGAATTTGAGTAGTACAACTTCTAACAACAACATATTTAGCTTCTATAGTAGAACTAGATACTGGATTTTGTTTCTTACTGCTTCACTCACCAACTTTTTGCCTAAAAGTTGACAGCTTCCGATGATACATTTTTTTGTCTATTTGACAACCTGAATAGGTAGAATCTAAATATCTGATTAGATTAAAACCTGAGTCTTTGAGATACAAAAGACCTAGTTGTGTAATACTTCTCTTGAAATTTCTTTTAGAATCTTTTAAATGTGATTCTTTCAGATTAGCTTGGTATATTGTACATAAGCATTATATCAGGCCCACTAGTTGTTAAATAGCAAAGAGAACCAATCATACCCCTATAATTAGTAATATTCACTGATTTACCATCATGATCTGCATGCAACTTTAAGGGGTGTGTTATTGGTGAGAAAAATTTATAAAAAAAAAACAGTAAAATATTAGTCACACAAAAAATAATGTCATCCGCATGAATCTGTACAAGAATGACATTACCTGGGTTTTTCCATAGAAAGAGTATGTTTTCAGTTTTACCACATTCAATTTTTTTAGAAGAAAAGTAGAGAGAATGTCAGACCATGTTCGAGGAGCCCATTTAAGACCATACAAAGCTTTATCCAGTTTATATGCATACTCTAGATATTCATATTCCCTTCGTACACTCGATATAAACTACCTATGAATAGACTTATCTACCAAGGGATTTGTGGAATTTCTGTGGATTACACGATCCTCAAATCCATGAGGTTGTTTCACATAGAAATCCTTTGACAACTTCCCATATAGGAATACACTCTTGATATCTATCTGATAGACCTTGAATATTTTTTAGGCTGCACAGGCTAAAAATATTCGGTTAGCCTAAAGCCTTGAGATTGGAGTAGAGATTTTGACGTAATCACTCCCTTTTTCTAACCTATCAACTAGTCATACATTACTATGTGTCACTTATTCCATCTTCATTCATCTTTTTTCAGAAGGTCCAATTGGTGCTAATAGTTGTTTTGTTGGAAAGTTGTGAAGGGACTTCGGTAGATTCGATGTTTTCAGAAGAATATGAGAACATCCATTTATTCAATTCATATTCATTGAAGTTGGTAAAGGTGGAGGGAGTAGAGGTGCTTTCATCATTTTCGGAGAGAATAGTGCATTTTTCTTCAGAGAAGTTCATTTTGAAATTTTTATCACACAATTGAATGATTTGATTAAAGCTCAAAAAATTGTGCAGTCCATCTTCATAGGCTACTCGGCTAAAGGCGACTGATCGATTGTCAGAACACCATAACCTTTTCTTGCACCATTAGAATTATCAGCGAATGTCACAAAGGGACTTATTTCAGGCACATAATTTTCAACAACGATTAGAAGGTCAGGGGTTCAAACCTCACCATAGGTGAGGAGGGTGTGTGGGTTTATTTTGTTGCATTTGCCGTATATAAATATTATATACTTAAAAAAAACGATTAGAGTCTAGCCATACGCCTTGAACATCCCTTGTCCAAGTACCAAATTTATTTTTGAATGGTCCTTGCAATCATAAATAATCATTTTTGGGTACCCATCTTGAAATGGTTACTTTTGGGTTAGAAATGTTAAAAACTTCCCATGATTTTATTATATATATATATATATATATAGCTTATTTTAATCTGTTTTAATTTTTATTTTGGCATTTTTATGCGTTCGAGAGAACAATCATTGGCTAAGTGGAAAATGTACCACAATTAAAACACTTATGAAAAACGGACTTAGAAACCAAAGATTCTGTTTGGATGACCAAAGTTTTTATAAACAACAAAAAGGTCTTTTAGGATCCGAAAAAATTTCCATGGAATTTGAGGACTATCTTAGAGACCCACATATACTTATTTTCTAGATTGCATTGGATGATTGTGCAAAATTCTTCATAAACATTATTTGAGGATTGAATGCTTTCAGAGGATGAGTTGGAAGAGAAAAAAGAAGAGAATTTTAAGGAGGATGTTAACAAAAAGATTGTTAGCCAGAATAGGTAAAATCATTTGACATCACATATGAGAATTTTGGATTCTCTAGAGTGAGAATATCCTAAGCCAAGTTATGATTATTTTCAATTTGAATACCAACCAATGAATTGACATTAATGGAAAACTCATTCCATTCTTTTACATTAACATTTTCATTTTTTAAGAGCATGAGACACTTTCATATAAAGATACTCATGAGATTTATCATCATAAGATTTAGAAGCATGAGAGAAATTGTGTACCTTACTGTATGGCTTAGAACTTTTAGAAGCAGATGGAGGTTAAGAAGTAGATATCGTAGCAGTATCCTTCATAAGGGGTTCACATAATCGGATAACTCAGTAAGTTGAGACATCATTCATATATGTGCTTTTTCACCTTCTTCATTACTGGAGGATGAGGTAGAAGAATCCACCAGTCATGTTCTTCAATCATCAATTTTGTTACTCTCAATGAAAGGATTTAAAAGATTTAAAGGAATAAGGATATAGACTCGTTATCTTGGGAAATAGAAGTCATTTCAGATCTTGTTTATGAGATTAAACAAACCGATTTGGTACCACTTTTTGGTCCCAGATGTGTTAATGACCTATACTACAAGTTTTTCTAAAAGAGGGTTTGTGTGTCCCAATATATCAATCTTTATGTAAACCTTCAAGATCATCAATGGCAGAATGATATTACATTTAAGAACACTTAGAGAAGAAGAGAGAGAAAGTCAAATCTTCTATTTATGGTCAAACTCTCATACGTATATTGAATATACAAATGAAGCTCTCTTTCAAATTACAAAGCCAAACACCCTTTATATAGGGTCAAACCTACAGACAAAAGTCAAAGTCAAACAATCATAATAAAAGTCAAACACGATGACTTTTATACAATTATAGACAATTTTATCTTTCAAAACGAATACAATTTTATACTGAATTTCAGTCTTAACATTCTCCCCCTTTGTATTCAGACTTGAAAGAATTTGCGCGCTTTGAGTCTCGTTTGAACTTTGAAACTTTAAGCACACTATGTCTTCTTCAAAACAATCTTCAACATGAAATCTTCAAACAATCTGTTGATCCTCTCTCTCAGTGATTTGATGATAATCCHTTTTTTCCTTTCACGTTGTATTTGTGTCTCYGTATTTTCAGTTCCAGCGATCATCAGTGAGTATGTTCAGTGATTGCTGAAGAACTTGCATTGTAAATTCATCAGGCAAACAATACTTCAAGAAGACAACACTCACACCAAAGATCCTTCAGCGAACATCGAAGACTGAAACTGAAGATTAGAGACTGGCGAGTACGTGACCTGAAGCGGTATTCAGTGATTACAGACCTGTCTACATATGTGTGAAGACTGCTCTAGCTTCAGCGAATGATGATGAGACCTCCAGGTCATCCCAGCATTCAGCGATCAAAAGAAGCTTGCTTAGCACGATTGTTGTTGTCTTGTCCTTTTGCACACAAAGGACAAACCCATACCCTTGCAAAAGTTAGTACGGTACGTAGCCGATTAGTCGACTCTTTGTCCACCAATTTTAAGCAAGGATGTCTGCTCAAGAATAGTGCTTTTGTACTATTCACTGTAGCAAAGGACAAACCTTCCTCTTAAGGCTTGCCACGCACTCTAAACCTACCGTATTGCATTAAATGTTCATTTAATGCACTGAGTATAAATAAAAGTGTTTCTTCTCTTTGTAGAGTGCACGCATCTCTCTGTAATTCTCTTCTTACTTCAAGCATCTTCTAGCTTAAGTAAAAGATCTTCTTTTTAGCAATCTCTTTTCTTGTAATTGSTAAAGATCTGTGTGTAACCAAAGATTGTTTAGATAGGTTTTCTTTACCTTATCTTTCCGCAAACAGTCTTGTACAATCTGTATTGATCTTCTCTATCAATAT